TGAATTTTTCTGAGTTTTTCACAAAGTTTACACATTTGATTATTATGTGTTTTGGTGTAGTATGAACTATGTTTTTATAGAAAATTATCGGAAATAAATTAAAAACTTTGCATATATGTAATGCGAAAATTCACCGTGCCAAAACTTTTGTTCGACACTCTACATATAAAAAAATACATACAGTAACTTCTCCTGTTACAAATATGTAATTTGCTTTGTAGTGCAATCTTGAGGTTCTTTAAATAAAAAATGGATATCAGAAATTAATGTTTCGTAGCAATAAACTCCCAAGCACAAGTCTGTATTAAAAAAAAAACATCCGTAACACTTTATTAAATATTAATCTGCATATTTTATCAATTTGTCGGAATATTTTTTTATGTATGTTACCGCATAACTTTAGACGACGTTACCCGTTTTCTATAATTATTTTTTAAAGGAAAGGTGGTTCCTCAGATGTAGTCTGCTACAAATTGAGGGTAGATCCAATGATTGGGCCATGAAGAAAATAACGGTACTCTTAAATTTGAGTATGAGAATTGTAGTCGGTTTTGTTTTTTGTTTAAAATTTACTCCAGTGTCCACAGCTTCTTTAAAAGAGTCGTAGACCATATTTTTTTGTTAGTTCAGTTTGTTGATTAGTTAGGGGTGATATCATAGCCAAACATGATAGTACTTTGTTTGCCATCAATAAACACTAACTTGGCGGAGTTACAGTATTTCACATTGATGCGAGCCTCATAAGCTTTGAATAATATTTGCTTTTAGTATTTACTTTTATTATTTACCGCTCAGATAGGTGGCAGGCCTATAGAAAATATTTCTTAATCAATAATGTTTCAAATACTTTTCGCTTGGCACCTATATTATAATACATTCCTTAACTTATTAACTTAATTGAGTTAAATTTTCGAAATTGGTGGCAACCCGACTCAAAAATATTTTCAGTAGTTAGATACAGGTGGCAACCCTCCTCAAAAATATTTTCACCTGTAAGCCTTCATAACCTCTTTCTTTTTACACCCATATTATGATATCTAATTTGTCATTAATTTACTTATACTGAACTTTTTAAACAGGCAACACTCTATTTTTTCTGGTTTTAACCATCCGGATATTATGAAAAACAGACCAAAAAAAAAAAAATATTGAAATCGGTCAAGCCATTTTCGAGTCTTAACGAGACTAATGGACAGCAATTCATTTTTATATATATAGATATCTTCTTTTAAAAATGCGTAGGCTCGAAATTAATTTAAGGCCTATGGTCTGGAGGAATTTTTTTTTTTTAGAATTTTATGAAGATTCCGGATATGCTAGGAACGATGTCGAAAAAAATCGATCCATACAAATTGACCCGCCCTAATATATATATATATTAGGGCGGGTCGAAAATCTANACATGATAGTACTTTGTTTGCCATCAATAAACACTAACTTGGCGGAGTTACAGTATTTCACATTGATGCGAGCCTCATAAGCTTTGAATAATATTTGCTTTTAGTATTTACTTTTATTATTTACCGCTCAGGTAGGTGGCAGGCCTATAGAAAATATTTCTTAATCAATAATGTTTCAAATACTTTTCGCTTGGCACCTATATTATAATACATTCCTTAACTTATTAACTTAATTGAGTTAAATTTTCGAAATTGGTGGCAACCCGACTCAAAAATATTTTCAGTAGTTAGATACAGGTGGCAACCCTCCTCAAAAATATTTTCACCTGTAAGCCTTCATAACCTCTTTCTTTTTACACCCATATTATGATATCTAATTTGTCATTAATTTACTTATACTGAACTTTTTAAACAGGCAACACTCTATTTTTTCTGGTTTTAACCATCCGGATATTATGAAAAACAGACCAAAAAAAAAAAAATATTGAAATCGGTCAAGCCATTTTCGAGTCTTAACGAGACTAATGGACAGCAATTCATTTTTATATATATAGATATCTTCTTTTAAAAATGCGTAGGCTCGAAATTAATTTAAGGCCTATGGTCTGGAGGAATTTTTTTTTTTTAGAATTTTATGAAGATTCCGGATATGCTAGGAACGATGTCGAAAAAAATCGATCCATACAAATTGACCCGCCCTAATATATATATATATTAGGGCGGGTCGAAAATCTAATTTTTCTCACATCCCTTGGTAATAGTGAAAATATATTGTATCATGAAGTCAACAACAAGCCTGCAAAATATTAGTATTTTATTTTAATTGTAAGAGCCCGCGCATCGATCGTCAAGTGCCCCACAGCACACTGGTCGAATAAGACCAATTCTTGTTAAAAATTCTGGATTCAGACAAAAGTTTTGGTGCATATTATTAGATAATGAATCCGTCTACGCAAAATATAAAGTCAAATATCATTTCTCGCAGCCCCTTAGCTTATCGTTAATCTCAAAGTTATCTTTTTTCAATAAAATTTTAATTGTTGTCTTGATAATTGCACTGGAGTATAGTCAAAAGCTGTAAAGAACAGCGTTACTATTGCTGGCGGGCATTTAGGTCGCTGGTTCCAAATATTCTTATGTTTTTTTTTAATATTAGCTATAGTTTGCGAATTTTTGCAAATATAGGAACAGTTTCGGTAGCTCTAATAAAAAAGCCATTATTTTCCATCATCGTAGAAAAATTTGGTTTATGCAAATGTGTATGGAAACACTGAACAGGCACAACTTCTAGAAACACTTATGTTTATGCATACTTTATCAAAATTGCAAATATAGAAAAATTACAAAAAATGTTCAAAATTTTTTTGTATTTTAAAATAATTTGTTCATAATCTGAACGATTTTATCATATTATTATCATAAATCAGTAACAGTAAGTCTCGCATTCAATTTGGTAATTACTACGTACCGATCGAGTGACATTTACCAAAGTTATATCGAAAGACTTAAGTGGATCTCCAGTTTTTTCTAACTAAATTTCTCTTCAATTGTATAAATAACTTTTAAATGAAAGAACCGGATTACAGAAAAGTGTGCCAGGGAGTGACTTTTTTCGTTGAATCTGAATGCGAAGCAATATCGTCCAATTGGAGAGTGCTCAAAAGGATTTCCCAGGATATGATAAAGACGATTGCATTTACCTACAGTCACTTATTCACATAATAGAATCACCTTAAATATTTATGGATATCTAAACACTTATTGCTCGTCCCCTACTTTAATATAACGGTAAATTTAGAAACCGAAAAATGTGCTTCTTCGGTGACTAATGAAACCATTCCGCACCAATTGTCAAGACAATACAAATAGACTTAAAATGGGCGTTGCTCACCCTAGTTGTGTTATGTTAATGTTTGTAAATACTTATATGCTTGAAACTACGATTAACTTATCACACGATTCCTAATTTTAGACAATACATGTTTGACTTCATTCACCACGATCTTGAAAACTGACCAAATCGGCGTGACCACACTCATGGCCCTCTTAATATTAAATAAACATCCGAAGACATTAAAACGTTTGAAATAAATCGCGTCTCACTTTTTTGCATTTTTCACTTGGTGGCTGAAGTAATGAAGAATTGAAAATTCATAAGGGAAAATTATAGTTTTTGTAAGTTTTATCTTAATATCTTAAAAACTTGTAGAGATATTGAAAAATGATAAATGAACGTGAGGTACTAAATTTAATAACCCTTTGATATATCGTCCTGTTTATAACAATTGACGCATTCCATCGATATTACAAGCCAGAGTTCCATTTTCAAAATTCATACACTTTGATTGAATTGCGCGGGCTAAAGATAAGTTTTAAATTAATCTTTCGTGACCAATAACAATTGGCTTAGATATAAGACATCATAATATTACTATTACAAATGCATTTTATTTTCCTCCATACAAAATCGACCCANTATATATATATATATATATATATATATATATATATATATATATATACATGAGAATTGAAGTCGGTTTTGTTTTTTGCTTAAAAATTACTTGTATTTGCTATGTATGTATGTATATTAGCCGTCATCGATTCGCCAACAGTTAGCGAGTGGCGAAACGAACGAACTCAATGAGGTACAACCAAACTCGCTATCGTCTATCCGTGCTAGCTAACTTTGTTGTTGCTTTCACATGCAAAATTCTTCTTTAAGCGACCGGAACTCAAACATAGCGAGCGAGAAGTGGCGAATCGATGACGGCTATTATTTGCGTTTGATGGTTCCGACAAAGAAATTGGGTAAAAGAATTAAATTACAAACTTTAAACTTATTTTAGTTTTCTTCGAAGGCTCTATTAAATATTCGCTTAGAGCGGATATTTTATGTTTTGCAGCATGCGAATTTAGAATTATGCGGGCGGGTGCAATAATTGCAGACATAATTTTTCATAAATTTCGATTATTTTCTTTTCCTGAGATGGGTTTTGTGCATGTACGGAGAGGCTTTTTAAAATTTCTTCGTATTTTATGGTTAACTTTTATTTATGTATTTTTAATGCAATTATATATAAAATGTAAACACGGATTGCGGACACATTGCCGATAACGACAAGAGTGCAGACATCCATCCATACATACGTGCTCGGCGCAAAATTTTGACGTCAATGCGTCGTGATGTGTTCAAAGCCTTAATGTTTATAATGCAAATACATATCGACGCTTAAAGTACAAAACCGCGTATCGTCCTTCTGCAAAACCGCTTAACTGACATTTGCTGCCAAAAATAAGATTTGCTCACACAAGCTCTTGGAACAATCTTAATACATTCGTCCTGAAATATACTAGCCAGTAATGCGATTGCTTTCTAAAAAAGAGAACCATTTTGAAATATGATTGTTTTTACTCTCTAAAAAATAATTTATGCAAACTCACATACGCGGTTTTGCATTTTGTTGATACGCGGTTTTGTACTTCAAACGACGACATGTCTATTTAAATATTTTGAAAGCTGAAAATTTCGGTAAACTTTTTTCGGGGAATTTTGGTTGAAACGCCTATAAAGTTGAGCTCTCCATCAGTATTTTTTTCAGTCTAATGCTACGCTGTGTAAGCTGCATACATTAGCTTTGTCATTTGGGATCGTAAGATTAAGTAAATTTTATTTTTTAAATCGTCGCAAAAATGTCCTTGCTAGGTTTGCTATCAATATTACTCCTAGCAACTGCTACCAATGGAAAAGGCGGGAAGGAACATAGTAAGGTAAGTGGAAGTAATTGAGCGATGAAGTTACACTAATTAAATTCTTTTAACCCATTGACCATTTTCTAAACAAGTCATCCAAGAAAATCAGAACGCAATTTTCTCAATTATTTAGTCTAAAATAATAGTTAAATTAAAAACAAAATTAAATAATTGTCTGGGCGTTGTCTACGGCCCATTGAAATTTGTTCGGTATATCGTATAAAGTTGGGAAAGGGCATTTTTAGTAGATACACGGTCCCGAAGATCTAGACATAGTCTCGAGAATCCCAAAAATCTAGCATTAGTCTCGAAAATACCAAAATATTTCCAAAAATCTTGAAGTAGTCCCGAAGATTCCGACATAGTCCCGAGATTCTCGAAAATCTCGAAGTAGTCTAGAAAAATCCAGAAATAGTCTAAAAAATCTCGAAGATCTGAAAACTTTGAAGTATGTTGTGTCGAAAATCATTCATGGATTTGTGAATTGACTAATTCAAAATCACGCAACTCTGGTTTCAGAAATAAAACCTTTTCAACCCCATTCCGATTTACACCCATCTTTTAAGAACTCTTCTATCTTACTAATTTTAATCTAAATTTTCAAACACTTTACAAACAATTTTATTGATAAACTAAAGACTTCTTAACACTCTTTCGTTTGACATGCTTAACGTAATGTTTCATATAGCTTGTATATAAATTAATTTGGTTCGACTTTTCAAAGAGGTGGCAACCCTCTTAGCTAAAATCTTAAATTTCCTTCGACTGGCATTGTGATAAGTTTTAATTAACTGATGAATTACGGAGCGAATTTGATTTTTTAACAGGTACGGTATATGAGTAAATTAAAATCGGCATTGGTGGACCCCTGATGGTCCACCGAAGCCAGTAAAGTTTTGATTAACATATGCTCATCAAAAAATGTGAAAATTAAATCTAACGATGTAATTTCTAAATTCGGAGTGGCAAAAATAAAAATAAAATATTTTCTTGTGTTCTATTTATTAAAATAATGTGATTACACACTTGCAAGTTTTAAAAAACAGAGCTCGTAAAGCCATGAAAAAACTATTTCGCTCTGAGGAGCTATATTTTTTAAGAGCTCTAAATGAACTCCTCACATGTTCACTCACATTTTTAAAACACAAAACTTGAAATAATAAAACTGCAAAGCTTTTTACGCCAAACTTCCAAATCAGAAAGAGACCAAGAAGAAAAGAATCTAGATAAATCGATGATAAATCGATGATAAACAAACAAGCACGCAAGAAGCTCTAGAACTGCTCCACCAGTCAGCAGTACCGTCTTCTCAGTGAGAGGAAAAAGCTAGATAGATATACCTTCTGAGATTGAAGGCATCATGAGTTTTGCCCACCGGCATCCACTCGATGGCTTCCAGTCATTGATGAGCGAAGTGTCCACCCAGTTTCTGATGGTGGCTTCGATGGTCGAAATGGAGAGTTCTATAACTGGTTGCGGATCAAAGAATGCCTGGTTTAAGCCAACTGTGGCCAAAAGGTCAGATGTCTCGTTTCCAGGCACTCCCGAGTTGCCCGGCATCCAGAGTAAAGCAAGCTCGTTATCTTTGCCAGCATAATTTAGTCGAGACTTGCATTATCGAACTAGTTTCGGAGTACTTAGATAGAGTGCTGGCCAGTGCCTTAAGTGCAGTTTGGCTGTACCTGTAGGCCCGTAAACTCCTTCCCCTCCACCTATCTTCCACCATATAGTCAATGGCTTTGGGGATTGCAAATACCCCAGCCTAGAATGCCGAAACATATTCCCCTAGAGAAAAAGTGAAGATTAGCCCCATTAACTTCGAAACATAGTCGAGATCCTGATCCTGAGTCACTTTTGGAGCCATCAGTGAAGATTCGACAAAGTACAAGTAATGGAATTAAACCAGCATTCCCTCTCCTATGCACCACTAAAAAAAATTAAAGTTAAATAAATAGACTATCAAGCAACTATTTTGGTTCTTTATTATCGAAACCATATAGATTTTCGTGTACCCCCACTTACAACTCGTGGACCCCCATATTTTTTCACGCCACCGTAGACCCCTGTTGAGTCACCCGTGGAACCCTGGGGGTGCACCTGGACCACTTTGGGAATCACTGAATGGGTTTGGGTATGAATTCATTTGTCATTGCTACCAAACTGTCCGGCCAAATTATCAGTGAAACAAAACAAACAGAACGGATAATACATTGAACCAGATCTCCATTAGGATCATATCGTTGTTGTTGAATTTGCGTGCAAACAGACAGAGTTGCGACAGAGTTGCATTGGCTTCAGTTTATTCAATGAAATCGCTGGAGAAATTTATCAGAAATGTGTAAACGAGTTTCCATACAAATTTTGACAATTAATTTATAGGTTTTACACAATTATAAGTTTATACGGTTTGTAATACATTTATAAGGTTTGATGAATAGACTTATTATTTCATGATTTTTATTTTTTTCGCCTAAAAATAATAATTATTATTGAATTTTATTTTTTCGCTCAACGGAATTAATTATTATTTGATTTTTTATTTTCTTGATCAATGGAATTAATTATTATTTGATTTTTTATTTTTATTTATGATTTTTATTTTTTCGCTCAAAGATAATAATTATTGAGTTTTATTTTTCCACTTAAAATTAATGATTAATTATAAAATGTAAAAGGCCGTAAATATTCACTCGCAATAAAGTTGTCTGTGAAGCAATCATTAAATAGGACTAGTGGAAATATGTGCTGCTTTATTTGATGTTATTAAAAGTCCGATTCCTGTGTTCACCTAAGCACAAACGATTTTGTTTTTAGTTTTTTTTTTGCTCGCCAAACAATTTGTCCGCGTACGGATCTTATACTCTAAACGTCTGACAGTCCTATTTTTTGATAACTTTTGATTTTTAAATTATAAACAATTTATGAGATAGAAAACGAAAACCGTGGAGCACATGCAATACAAAGCATGAGATTTAATTGACAATAGTCAAACTACATAACATAGACCTTAACTTTCTACAGAGAAGGTACAAATTTGAGATCGATTTTAAGCGGTCGTTATTCATATATCCACATACATATGTACATATATTAATCTTCATATCAATTCAGGTCTATTATGTACATGCCCCCCACGCTTTTCATTCGCAATCTCATAAATTGTTTATAATGACTTGGTAAAATTTCAAAATCAGGAGTTATCAAAACAAATTCTATGGGGCTGAAAAATATAATTATCTAATTTTTAGTCCATTTATAAAGTGTGGTATATAAAAAAGTTTATTTTTATTTATTTATTTTTTCTACTTTTTAGTCTTGTATAAAATTTTGCAAATAGATTTAAAATAGTTCAACTTGCAGCAATCAATTTCATTTAAAGAAATTGCGTGTCATCCATTTCCGCTGTAGCGTATGTAGTGCATATTTTTAGGCGCAACATTTAACTTCTTTTAACGGAGTGACATCTACCTCTAGAGTTTTGATATGATACCAGGCAACGAGGTTGATTGATACCTAGACTAGGTTTGCCATAAATACATTTGCTTTATTTATAGTATCGTCTGGACACACAACATTGCAAGTTAATAAAAGCGTTGTAAAAATAATGTTTGATGCCATGTTACTTCTTTCTTATAACGTTTTCTTTTCTATAGAAAATTGTTGCTTTTTCAGTGCCCTCTTCGCACAAATACTAAGTAGAGGGCAATACAAAGTCACCATTTTTAGAAGAAAAGGAAACGCCATTAGTATATGCAGCTCAATCTAAAATTTGATCGCTAACATTTTTATCTTTCATTACTTTTCTCCTCGCAGTTGTCGTACAAAGTCGAGGCTGTGCCCAACTCTTATGGTGAACATGGTGAAGGTCCTCACTGGGATATTGAGAGTCAGAGCCTCTACTACGTAGATATTGAAGCGGGGAAACTATTGCGCTACGACTATCAGGAGAATAAAGTTTACAAATCTAAAATCGAAGGCGAGGATCTTGCTTCCTTTGTCATTCCCATCGAGGGTCAAAATGGCAAGTTTATTGTTGGAGCAGCACGTCGGGCGATAATTGTGGATTGGGATGGTGTCTCTAATACAAGCAAAGTGGATAGCGTACTCTTTGAAGTGGAAGCCGGAGAAAAATATGCTGGTAATCGTTTCAATGATGCTAAAGTCGACCCACGGGGCCGCTTCTTTGGCGGCACGATGCAATATATTGGAAATGATACATATCCTTTGGCGGCATTATACAAGTACGATAAAGGCAATGTTTCTACGGTAAAAAAAGATGTAGGTATTTCCAATGGCTTGGCTTGGAACGAGAAGTTGAAGAAATTCTATTATATTGACACTGACACCTATGAAGTGAACGCATACGATTACAACTTCGATACTGGCGTGCCAAGTAAGTACGGCTTATTTGCTGTTTGAAAGCAGTTCACTAAAATTTAGCAATGTGACAAAAAAAGCGAAGAATTCAAACGAAACAAAACTTAAGGTTTAACGTAAATTAGAACTTAGAAAATCAAAATTAAACAGACTTCGACGTGGCATTAAGCAACATCGATTTTTAAGTGACAGCCTCTTACTTACGTTAAGTTGCCATAATCAGACCTTTAGTGTTTCAGTAGGTAGGTTTCTGATATGTAAATATAGTGTTTGAAATCGTTCAAAAACCGCAGCCTCCGCGCATGTAATGGTAATTTGAGAAAACACGGGAAGAGGACGTGGTTTTGACCGATTTCAAAAAGGTTTACAGATGGTGTTTAAGGTTTGATAAGTGATTTTTATATATCGTAACCTGAAATGCAAAAAGACGAAACAGCATCGTAAATGAAATTGAAAAAGTCATGACTAAAATATAAATTATTTGTTTTTCATAAAATGATGTGGGGAGTTGTAATTCGATGAAATCCATCATGGGAATCAAAAACTGAATTTGGAATTTTTTATTAGTTATGCCTTTTGGTATTTCAACGATAATGTTTGTTACGTCTTTTTACATTTCAGGTGACGAATACTCCCATTTTATAGCATTAAAAAAGTGATTTTTTTAGATAAACTTTTAAATAAAAATCCATTTGGATTATTCATGAGCACCACTGCGTAAAAGACTTGAGAATCCAATACGTCTCTCGAATGGCACGCCATAAGCGTACATACATACGCTCAAGTGCTTTCTGACAAAAGAGCTTTTCACCATGAACGTTAGCAAGGGACCGTTTGTGTAAGACTTTCGTGCCAGAATAAACAAAATCTTTCAAACTATTTTGCTTACTATCTTTCAATGCTCTTACAAATAATTTCAAATGTCTTTGCTAGAAGGGCCCTGCAAGTTTTGTTTTGGGTGTATTCCAAGTTTTGGTTATTTAGCACTGTGTTATTATTTTTTTATATTTACATCCTTAGGTAATCCTAAAGTTATATTCGATTTACACGGGGCAAAACCTGAAGACGATTTGCTGCCTGATGGTATGACTATTGACAGTGAAGGCAACCTCTACGTCGCCACATACAACGGTCACACTGTTTACAAGGTCAACCCAAGGTGAGTCAATTCAAAGTGTTAAATTGAATTTTTTTTTTTTACTTAAATTACCCGTTTTTCAGTACCGGTGAAGTTCTTTTGGCAATTAAGTTACCTACCAAACAAATCACTTCAGCTGCTTGGGGTGGCCCCAATCTTGACATATTGTACGTGACCACTTCGGCGATAAATGACCAACCCGCACCGGCTGGTACCACCTTCAAAGTCACTGGTTTAGGCGCTAAAGGTTTGCCAATGTCAAAGCTTCGACTTTAATTGTGTGCCTTGCGATCAGAGTTGCCAGATTCTTTTCTCAAAAAACTGTAAATTAAAAAAAAAAACTGTATTTTCGGCCAAAAAACTGTTACTTTCAAAACGGAAAGTGTTTTTGAAAAAATAAGGGTTTTAAGTTATTAAACATAACTACCAAAACAATATTTATTTAAACGAAAATAACATCAACCGTTTAAATTAAACTTAACAATTAAATCACATTTCCTTAATGAAACTTAGTTGGATATTTTTCGATTGGGAAAAAATTCTTTCCAAATTTACTGCGGCGGCTGCAAGCAAAGGACAACTATAACCATTTGTTTCAAATGAGAAAACTCTACTCCCACATCGGCCTCTTTTGTCCCAAAAATTTACATACAAAAAAATCCAAAGAGAAATTTAAGTTTATTCCTTTTTTTGTGCACCGTCCCTCATCATACTGCCGGGAATCAAGCCGTATCCATTTATACCCAAATATCGAAATTTAGATATCGATGGCTGAGTGGAAGATCGACCTATCTCGGCAGCCAGTTCGAAAACGCTCTATCTCAAAAAACTTTTCAAGAACGCCCTATTTCAGAATTCGTTTCAAAAACGCCCTATCTCAGCTGCCGATTCAAAAACGCCCTATATCAGCANGAAATAGGGCGTTCTTCAAAAGTTTTTTGAGATAGAGCGTTTTCGAACTGGCAGCCGAGATAGGTCGATCTTCCACTCAGCCATCGATATACAAGTAATTTTTAGCAAAAAAAAACCGACTTCAACTCTTATATAAACAAGTAATTTTTACATAAACAAGCAGTACTATGGTGTTAAACTTCCACAAAAAATATGTTCCTTCACAAGTGTTTTTTGAGTATTGAATTATCAAGGCTAATACCAAGCTAGCCCAATACTGAGCGAGATACAAAAGGGACTCCCACAGCAACACCTCGAAGGAGCGTTTTAAAATATGGGATGAATAAGCATTCCATATGGGTTATCTGCGGATGACCTGTTAAAGAAGAAACGTTATTTTTTACCAAACTGCTTCACCGATCATAACCAAATTGCGATGTACATATCTACTGGAAACCTTCCAAGGATGGTCATAGACCAATAAAAAATTCGACATATCAAAGGCGCGTGCGTATTTGCGGTAGAGCTTTGGAATTCGGTTGAGTGATATATGAAGACAAACCCAAACTTTCGAAGGGAAAATTACGTTATTGGAAAACCTGAAACTATGGAGGTTAACGGACCTCTGAGTTCTAAAACCCCACATATATGAATTTTCAGGTTTATTCAATGCATTTTTCCCTGCTTGACGTTCAACTGACCACGAACCTCACGTGATAGAGGCTAACGGACCTCGGATTCGCATTTAGCCTGTCGAATAACATAGGGTTTGGTTTAATATGCATACACTTTTTTTGTAAACCTGTGTAATTTTTATCAATATTTGTTTATAATTAAATCATTTTTCTTTTATATTTTACTCACTTCTTTAAGATAAATTTTCTGCGGATCACACGAACGAGAGTTCAAATAATACACAATGCAAAATGTTAGCTAAACCCTAATTGCGCGAAACAATAAAATAAGCCCCCTTTCTTCAACGAATCAAATTCGACAATGAAAATAAAATTTATGAATTTTCTTAACATTATGTTAAATGATAACATTTTGAAAGAAAAATCTTCATAAGTATTCGTATACTTCCTATGAAGTTTTCAAATACTGCTGAATTCAATCAACATACTCAAGTGTTTTGGAAAAGCGAAACAGTGTTTTATGTAGCAGAGCACTGTTGAGTAACATTGCTCAGTTATTCAAATTTATGATGTTCTCTTTTTTTCTTCCCATCTTTTTTAGTACTCTAAAATTTATGTTCCATTTACTCATGTACACATGTGAAGAGTATTTCTGCTGGTATATTTGCAGACCTTTAATATATATATCTCATGATCCGCTGATCGGATCGTAACCAGATTAGCATGGGACCACCTCTGAGACACTACCTTTTCGATGCAATAATCGAAATCGGTTGACGTGGTCCAAAGTTATGCGGTAACATACTTAAAAAAAAAAAAAATATTCCGACGAACTGATAACCTCCTCCTTTTTTGGAAGTCGGTTAAAAAAATATATATATATATATATATATATATATATATCTCATGATCCACTGATCGGGTCTTAACCAGATTAGTATCGGACCACCTCTGGGATACTACCTTTCCGATACCAAAAGAACTATCGAAATCGGTTGATGTGGTCCAAAGTAAATAAAAAAAATAAAAATAAAATAAAAAAAAGAATATTCCGACGAAATGATAACCTCCTCCTTTTTTGGAAGTCGGTAAAAAAGGTAAAGATAACTAGGGATAAAAGAGAGAACCGTTTGGAAAAAAGACAGGTTTTACTCTCTCCTGTAAAATTTTGGCAACCTCTAATACGAGGCTTTGCGTTCTCGGGATACGCGGTCTGTACTTTAAAAGACGATATACAGCATAAAAGCGCAGTTAGTCAACGACGTAACGTAAATGTAGGTTGACGTACGTAGCAGCATATCAAATTTACTGTTGATAGAGAGAGAGAGAAGAAACGGTAACGTCACCGCCATGCGGTGGTGAGCTTTCGTTAACACGCGCACCCCATAAGGTAGACAGCAGGGATGAAAAAGTAGGTACAATTGTACCTCTTCCGACGTTTGATGACTTAAAGTTGCTTCCTGCAATTTGACTATTTTTTCTAGACTTATTGCACCTACCAAAAGGAATCGGATAAATAAGCAGACTTTTCCTGTTGTTTTATAAAAAGCTGGATAAAGAAGTATACTTCGCAAATACTAAACACTTATATTGGTAACAAAGAATGATATAATACAAGATTCTGCATCAGTGTTGCCATAACTTTTCGGGGCGACCGCCTAGATTGGACAAAAAAAAACGGCTAAAATGTTTCAACTAGAATTAATTTTTTAAATACATATATTAAGACAAGTAAATCCATTGAATTTTTTCGCTTAATAAAGACGTAGCTAAGCTGTACACCACTTTATTTTTGTTTAACAAAGGAAACTGTCGTTATACGTAGTTAAGCTTTACATCTGAAGACATGTTTGTATTGCTTTAATATAAAAACAGAGATAAATTACAAACTTATGGCGTTTTCTTTTCTATTAAACAATCTCGCCTTCTTATAAATATTGGAACATTTTCAGTAGGTTGCATTTTGACCCGGCTATGTTAGCAGAAAGTATGGCACTTTTGCTTATTCGGAGGGCAATATTTTCAGAAATGAACATGTAAAGCTGTGAAAGGGCTGAGGAAAGCAGGGCAACATTATCTCGAGAAACGAAAACGCCATGATACAAACACAGAAGGTAGTTTAATTTATTGGCGTTCGTTGCTGTTGCCGACCACTTCACTTTTAACAAGTTTATGACATTTAACTAAAATCATGCCACCAGATTCACTAGCAGAAAAATGTTTGCTTCTTGAAAAAATAACAAAAAAATTTTAAGTTAGTGAAGTTGGATGAAAATATTAAAAGTGTTGCGCGTTTCCAAACTGCCAGAATTCGGTACACCAGAGCAAACGTTCGAAAATAATGTTTTTTGCTTTTCTGAGGATGGGGTACGTAGTACGATCTAATGCAGTGTGATGACAAATTGCTGACGCAAAATATTTTTAAACCTCTAAAAGATGTACCGTTATCTGTGGAACAGGAATGAGGTCGAGTTAAAATGATGCCCTGCAACTTGTAACAGTACCAATTTTTGGATTCTCGAAATTTTCTGATAAAGATGTGGTGCTGCTAAAAATGTATATACAAAAATATAAGCACGAAACTATGTATTTGTCACAAGAATTATGCACATAAGATGAAAACTACTGCAGTTTTCTTTTATAAAATTAAAAAAGTATGTTTGCATCATGTATTGTCTTACCAGAGAGTTTTGCCTCACATCGAAATTCGTGCTCTTTTATTTTCTAAGTGTAGCGAATAAAACTTCACACTTAAATTTAAGACATTCATAACAAAAATTTTATGAAGAAAATCCCCGCTACATCCTCCCAAATATAAATTTGAATATTGAAGCAAGTTTTGCCTATTTTTTTTTTAGTTTATTTAATGTTTATCATTTTTGATGAATATGTAGCTCATTACTTAACAAACAACATTTACTACAAACAGATTTCACACTTTGTGTAAAAATTATGAAAATTTGCAAAATTTGTAACTTTTTAATCAGCTAATATAACGCGTCCCCGTTTATATGTATTTGGGTCACTTTTTTTTTTTTTTTTTTTTTTTATTGTTAACGAATCTTAGACAATTTACAGAAACGTCTTATTATTGCAACTAGTATATAAATAATGATACTAACAAGCAATTTTAATTTAATAATTTTAGTTTACAAGAAAAAGCATTTTATATTTTAAACACATGCTCAAAAGACATATAAGTAAAAATAAATTTCTGCTACTCGCTTTGCATAAAGTCTGCTACTGTTGTGCGCTTTAGCCGTCTTTGCGTAGGATTCAGCCGAAGTAAGCTGGACGCTGCTACGTTGACGTGACCTACTAATCGCTGTTTGTGAGCTATGGCGAATTGTTTCGTCATTTCAGTGACAGTTGGCATGCCAAGATCACGATGTAGATCGCTGTTTCTTACGTAGAATGGCGCATTTACTATGCCTCGAAGCACTTTATTTTGCAGACGTTGGATGGAAGTAATGCAGTTCACACTAGCACATCCCCAGAATTGTATGCCGTAAGTCCAGACTGGCCTTAGAATTTGTTTGTATACGAGAATTTTGTTGTGAATTGTCAACCTTGAGCGCCTACCAATGAGGTAATATAGTTTGTTAAATTTTGGGTCACTTGCTTAATATAAAAAACATTGAAATCGGCTTACTATCTGATTGTTTTTCAATTTTATATAACACAGTCCGACATGAAAATTTCTCAGAGATAAGACTAGCCATTTCTAATAGATTTTGGATAACTAAATTTTAAAAATAAAAATTTTTATATTTGAACATTAATAAAATAAGGAGAATAGCAAAATCGGCTAAAAAAAAAGATTTTTTTTTTTGCAAACGGCAAATCGGCTGCTGGCTAAATCTAGCCGGAAAACGGCTAAAATGGCAACACTGTACTGCATTCGCGGCGACGATGAAATTTCTCAAGTAAAAGTAAACAAGGCCGAATGCGAGGATAAAA